TATGCCAAAACCACACAACGGAATTTTTCTTCAACATTTATTTAAAAATAAAAAAGGGAAAAAAAAAAAAAAAAAAAAAAGTAATTGTAGGAGGGGCAACCAGATCTCATCTTACAAGATCTTGCGATATTATTTCTCGTGGAGGTGACTACCGTCTTACGAGAACTAGCCAGTTGCAGTCAGCGTGGCTTCGCCTGGTGAACTTGTAAGAGAAGACGTCCCGACTATCCTTAAATCATTTTTTGGCAGCTTTTTGTATTTTTGGCAGAAATAATAAATTGCAAAAGCGTAATGGAGGAAACATGAACAACATTTAAGCACTGCAAGTTGTTCAGACCCCCCAGGAGGCAGACAGCGTCGCTATAACAACCAATGGCTGGACGTCTAGAAGTACATTGAGCAACATCCTATCAATATCAGCTGGGAAATGGGTTTTTTACTGCAGACCATGCATAGTTGAAACACTGACCAAAGGTCTCAAGAGACAAAAATAAATCAGAAAAAGATAAGCAGTTTGTTGATTTTTTTGTGGCAGAAAAAAGGCTTTTTACAGGATAACCGTTTTCTCAAGTGTTACTAAAATCTCATCTCGTCTTGAGAGTTTTAGGCATCATTGTAACTACTAAAACTAAAGCACAGCATGCTCAACAATTATTGTCCACTCTAGTGAAGCTGTGTGAAAAGCTTTAAAATCAATCTTTAAACTGCAGTAAAATATATGGTAAAGTTCAACTTTTAATCCGAGCACATTCCTGATAGTCGTCGATGTATGTTGGATGCCTGGTTCCAAACAGTTACATATCCAAAGCTGCTACATTTTCCCATCATACTCTTCTGTTTAATTGGATATCAGAAAAAGTGCTGGAGTGACAACTAATGCACTTGTTGCCACTCCTTAGGGTGGCACATTCTCAGTAAGACATGACAATGAAATTGCAAAAAATATTGACAGTTAACACAAACGCTCCTACAGTTGCAGACAGCCATTTAAAACATAAGAAATTTAAAACTGAAATTGTGATTCACAATGCGAGGTGAGGACCTCAAATTACCTTGCCATCACCCACAACCTCTCTGCAAGCTTTACCGTTAGAAAAATGGCATTATTTAGTGAGAGATTATTTCACTGCAATAAAAAGACAGCTTTATCTTAAGGATTTCTACCAGGGGTCCTGTACCTAAACCGGTTTGTTGAACAGTACATCCGAAGCAAAAAGCAGGAACGTACCGTTGACGAAGGGCTTGTTTTCATTGGCTGGCTGAAGGAGGATGGTGGAGATGTCTTGGCCTTGGGTTGAGGAGGAGGCACAGCAGCAGGAAGGTTTTGGTTTGCATTCCCCTGACTCCCAAAGGGAGAAGTCTTTATGTGATTAGGTGCTACAGGAGCAGTAGCGTAATTTGGTGGAGCAGGAGGTCCTGGTGGAGCTGCTGGTGGTGGTGGGAAGGAGATGGTGGCTGTGGGAGGAGAAGGTTTTGGTGCGCTGTTTACTGGAGTGGCTGCTTGGTTCAGGTTCTGGTTGATCTTTTGCGCCAGCGAAGAGGACGACGTCGTCATCCTCCCTCCGAACTTTGGAGCCACGGCAGGCGGCTTGGTGAAAGGCTGGGCGCCGGGGCTCGTTCTGGCCTTGAGTTCCTCCGCCCAGGGAGCAGGAGGGGGCCGGTCCCCCATCTCAGGAGGTGGAAGGAAAGAGAGGGCTGGTTTGGGAGCAGTTGGAGGAGCACCTGGAGGCTTGGTTGCTGGTGCAGATGAATACTGACTTGGTGTCTGCGGATGATCATCAACAACAAAACCCTGAATTTATAGACTCTGATGCAAGTAGATCCCCACACACACACACAAAGAAATCATGTTTTTAAAGGTGACCAATTATGCTTTCTTGAACAGGTTAGGATAGGTTATGGGCTACACAAATAATTTTTAGATAATGAGATTTCAGTTTTGTCACTCATGCTTATTTTGAGCCCATTTCCAGAATGAGCTGTTTTACGGCGTCTTGTCACTTTAAATCCAAATAATCTGCTGCTGGCGTCTCCTACCCCAAACTCAACATTTACGCTTTCATGTGAAAATGGCTGCAAAAAGATGCGCAGTTATACAACCGTAAATGTTTGAAAAGCAGAACTGGAGCCTCCTCCACAACCAACAAGAATGCAGCAGGTGGTTTCTGGATGGCGAGTCAACAGCAAAACACTCGTCTTTTCTAGTAAACATTGCACAGCTTATACAGCTGTAAAACCAGCTGACCAAATGTGCTGGAGCTGCTTGGTAATGGGCAGTGTTTTCTGACTTGTGACAGTGAGTCAGCAGTTTTTTTTTAAACAGTTCATTTTCCAGACTCCAAAAACCTTTAACTTATTCAACTTATTAGTGTCTGAGTGTTTTTTTAAGCATTTGGGTTGTTTTTAGAAGCTGTAGAAACCCAAATGGAAGTACAAAAATACACAGAATGTCAAGTTTGCATAATAGGTCCCCATTCATATTAAAGCTATTGGAGTTAAATTTCTATTTACCATATTTAAAATTCAGCACAGGGAAGTTAATATCTGCTGTATAAGCCCCCCAGACTAACACACTTCAGGCAGACACCTTTATTACACCAAATCTGATACACTGATTAAACTAAAAACCTAAAAGAGCCTCACAGTTTGAGCTCATCAGAAGTACTTTATCTTTCTGACATTTATTTTGTGGTTTGGGGCCAATGTTATTCTACTGTGATTCAGTACCTCCCAGTCAGATGAAACACTCCATTTATGGCCCTCTTACAGAGACTCTGGCAGCACACTCTGGCTCAATCACACCCTAACGCTCTCAGTTCGCCTCACTGTGCATCACTCTTCCTTTCCGCATGAAGCTCCTCTCTCAGCATGAATCACCAGTAACTTTACTCTTTTTTTTTGGTTTCTCTTTCAATCTTGTGAGTCATGTGTGCATTTCCCTTCATGAGCTTTTCAAGCTGAGCAGATGAGTGACTTTTGAAAATCTCCAAACAATTGCCACTGACCAAACTTGGTTTAACTTTTCACTGTGAAACTCAGTTTTTTCCCCCCATTGTTATTCCTCTTGAGCCTGCTGCCCTTTTACTTCTTTGTTTCTCTTTATTTTGCTGGAGCTTAAACATCAATTCCTGCTGTTTCTTAAGTGTTTTAGAGACCCTCGCCCCCACCCATTGTCTGTGCAATGTACCTTGGGACTGAAAGATGCTCTAGTTTCCAACATCTCAGTCAGAGAACCAAGTTTCTTGTCAAAGTTCGTCTGTTTCTCCATTTGTCTCTGATGAAGGAAAGAAAGAGGTGAAAAATTACAAAAAGTACATTTATTGACTCCAATTTCAATTTACAGACAAAATTAGGATTTTAGGAACCATAGTGGTTCCTAAAAAAAAAAAAAAAAATCAGTCCATCAGTCCTCAAAGGTGGAATATGTTGCATGTTTACGATATTTAAACACAGTTTCAATAAAGCAACGTTTAATTACGAGGCCTCTGCAGAATTGAATGAAATCCTGAGTAGGCAATTCAAACATTTAATCAGAGCAGAGACTTAACTAAAATCTGCATGACATCATCCACTTTTGAGGAATGTAGCTCGACACCACTGCGTTTCACACAGAGTTTACGGCCACTGAGTGGCAAGAAGAAACCTGGCTAAATGAGAACAGGTTGATCGGAGAAGAAAAAAATCATCACTAGAAATGATACGAGCTGCTCTGCAAATGGCCAAGAAAATAAATTAGGCATAAAACAGGGGCAGACTTCCATAGAGTAAAGTTTGTCTTCAGTATTTGTCAGTAAAATAGTTACTCATTACAATATTTTTGGCTCACATTGACAACAGTGATGTAAAATATGAAGTACTTGTTCACCCCTGCAAAAGTAAGCGCGAAAACGCACAAGCAAACAGAACATCTTGTCAGATTACAGCCTGAGCACACACTCAGACTTTAGTTTTTTTTTCAATTTATTAAAAAGAAAACTGTTTGTAAATTCAAGCCACCATATAAACAAAATTCATCCAATAAAGTAGAATAATTCCTGCCTGGATTTTAATTTGCATCAAAAATTTACTACTTGGTCATTAAAATGTGTTTTGAGAACAACCATCCTTTATTTAAAATTAAAATAAAAAGGATATTTTGTCTTTATCTGAAAAGTGTGGTGTGAATTTGTGTTGAATCTCCCTTAATCTGATAGCACTTTAGATCCAGTGCAACAAACTGATGTGACCGACTGCCTACTTCGTAAATGACCTAACGTAAGTTGTGGGGTTTAAAAAAAAAAAATAATCAAGACAGAAAATCTCCAGGTCATCTACAGACTAAATAACATAAACCAAATGCTTTCCAGTCTACAGACTGACAAAGCACCAGACTGAAGCAAAGTGACTCACCTGTGAGTTCCCAGCAGCATTTGGAAAACTTGAACTGGAAGCAGGAAGAGGTGGAGGTGGTGGGGGAGGAGGGGGAGAGGGACAGCTGGGTGGACAGGCCGCCTCCTCAGGGGGAGCCGGGAGGGGGAGGTCATCGGCCACCGGAGGCGGAGCAGGAAAAGCGGGGGCATCGGAGGCAGGAGGTGGGATGTTACATTCAGGGGGAGGGGCTGGCAGATCGTCATCCAATGGAGGAGGAGGAGGAGGAGGGAAGTCTGATAAAAGTGAGAAGGGGTTGAGTAAAACAAGGCATCAGGGGCCATACCACACAGTATTTTTTTAATGCATGGTCATCTAGTTCTACATCAGAGTGATTGACATATTTTAATTCAAAAACAATAAAATCAAAATATATCGATCTCAAAAATCTGATTTATTCAAAGCAATTCAACTTTTCAATCCGCTTACTGGAAGCTTAAAATAATAATAATAATAAAAAAAATACAAATACTTTAAAAACAGAAGATGCTTTGTATAGTCTAGATAACTAGAAGTGTAAATGCTGGAAGAGTTTCTTCCTCCTTCTGGTCTCACTTTTGAACCTGTAGCTCACATGTTCGTAGGGAACTCAAGCTACTGGGTCGGGCCAGACAATATAAGTGTACAATGAAAGACTGGGGGACATCGTGTATGCCGATTGGTTGATGACATCAACAGTGCACAGGAGCCCCAAAGTTTCCACCACAAGCTGCATGCATTTGTAAAATTCTCCATAAAAATAACCGTTGCTAGCAAAACACAGGAAAAACAAACACAAACATAACAAAAGAAAACTAAAGCAATGCCCAACATTTACAGAATGGAAACGACCTACTTGTATTTATCCCAATCTCAAGCCTGTGTAATTTTCTTGTATATTTACAAAAGTTATGTTTACATGCTGTGCGCACACAAGAAGTACTGAAAAAAAAAAGCTGCTGCCACGGGGAAAAGAGAGATTAAATAATGCAAATACCATCAGAGAGCGACGAAGGCGGCGGAGGCATGTCTCCAACACGACCAATCACAGCCGTCCCTACGGGTGTCGGTGATGGGGCCGAGGGAGGAGTCTGACTTTTGGGCCTTGGCGGAGCCACAGAAGCAAACTTCTTGGGCTGGTTGTAGAAAGATGGAGTGGTGACTTTGAAGTTCAGAGATGATGTCACCACAAGCGGCTTGCTGCCGTTGGAGTCGTCCATTTTGTGGATTTATCTGAGGACAAACGGCGAGAAGCAAAATAAGCAACCGATAAACACACAGGATTGTTTTAATTCATCTCACAGCGGCAGGCTGGAGGTGAGCTCAGACTGCTTCACCATTCCCACACCCAAAGATTAAACCAATATTTATCAGCTGACAAATGCCACAGGGTTCGCATTCCTCTGGAGAATATACACGTCAGGCATCGAGCTGTGAGAACAGTGGGGATGACGCATCAGTGAAACATTTGGCATGCAAACTGCACACTAATGCATACCAGCTTTAGAGGCTGCATCACCAGCACAACTCAGATGTTACGAAAAGATGTCGGGAATGCATTCAAAGTGACAAGGTTTTTCTATTTGTTGCATTTTGAAATGAAAAAAAAAATACTCATATCATCATACCTATAAAGTTTGTTTCATATTTTAATTTATTATCTTGGTTAAAAGTGTCTCGATACCCAACATAAAAGTAATAAGTCTTCCCATGTCTTAAAATGTTCTACTTTAATTAAAAGAGCATAATAAAAAGGAAGTATGAACCATCTCTCAGGTTAGAGTTACCTAAATACAAGAACTGTGCAGACAGTTTCCAATGAAGTGAGAAAAAACAAAGTGTGTGATGGTCTTTAATTGGCTTATAAACTCCCAGATGCTGGAGGTAATTTACAATGTGTAGCACCTGGCCATTTACAGAGTCATAAAGCTCAGCACAAGTAACGTTTCTGAGAACAGCCACTTTCCATAAGTAATGATCATCACCAAATCACCAAGGCATTTTTACGCGAATCGCATCACAAAGAGAGAGAGAAAAAAAGTTGTACCAAACACTCTGGTGGCTAAACAAGTTGTTGACATCATTTCAGTGACGCTTTCAAGAGTTCTTGGGGAGTTTGAATACGCCGCTGTGAAGAACGCCTGCATGAACTTTCCCCAGAAGCGGGGTTGTTTGTACGGTTGCCCCATGTGACCCTTCAGTACCACCAAAACCCACATGTGGACACCGACATCCGTTCAGGAAACTGCCTGCACTTCCACATAGCAACAGATTGCAACACAACATCACACAGGAGGTAAACTAGAACAGCCATCGATGGGTTCAAGAAACAGGATCTTGACTTTCAATGAAGCCTTTGACAGATTATATCTGATGAACGCCACGGTCACGACCGGAGAAGGAACGAGTGAACACAAGGAAACAATTAGTCAAAGTGAGGTCAACATAATCATCATATTTATTTTCTGTCTTAGCTCAAGCAAATCAACGCCAATGTTCCCTTAAATGTGACTCACTAAAGAAAAGAAAGGGGCCATTTTCAGTCATTCATAATTGCAAACAACAGCCCAAAGCATTTTATATGAGTGTGAGACCAGAGTAGCAGTGCTTGGTAACCAGACACAGGCTTTCAGAGAGTCACTATTGAATGGCTATTACATAACAGACATTACATAGTTATATACATATTTAGTGCATGAAGTCTGCCTTTCTGGTCCAAGTCCCTTATAAAATCAATTTGAAACACCTTATAGGCAAAAAGGCCTGTCATTGTCCTGCATGGGGCTTGGAGTGAATTGTTTAACCAACTAAATATTAATGTAAAAGAATGCTAGAAGTGGTACCATTAATGTGTGACTATTGGATGTATAGCAAATGTAAGAAAAAAATAAAAGTAAAAAAAAAATAAAAAATCTCTGAAAACTTCAATAACTGTAAGAGAACATATTTTTTGTTACGAGAAAACTGTCCTCTTCTGGTGTAGCCAATTAGGTTTATTCATGTTGCACCACAACATAAGTCATCCCAAGATGCTTTACAAGTGAGGAGTTTCAACACGGCGCTTTAGAGGGTGTCAGGAGAAAATAAATTACTCATCGGGGTTTTCTTAATGGCAGAAGAGTTAGGACCTTGGGAGCATTCTTTCTCAATATTAAAAATGTTTTCTATCCTTGTTGCTTTTTGATGGGACACACTCAACTCTTCAAAGTTCTCAGAGCAAAATAAAACCGTACAGTTCAGAGGAGAGTTTGTTTTCCGTGTCAGCATTCATCAAAAAACAGTCTTAACCTTATATGTCCGAGCTAAAGCCAAGTTGTTTCACAGGTGTGTCAGCTGATGCACAGGACATTGGGTAAGACTTCCTACAATGAATCATGGAATTTCAGAAACATTGGCTGCTCAAATGTCCACCACTTGGCAACTCGCGGCACCAACTTGCTACAACTACAACAATACAAGGAATTAATTGCAGTACTTTAACTCGAGACTTTAACATCTGGAAACATGTTTCAGGTTAAACATCTGGAAACAGGGCAGTTCAAATCAACTTTGGGGGAAGAAGACTTGTTTTAATCCTTCCTTTTGCTCCAGTCTAAACACTGGAACGGACAAAAGCCTTATGTCATGGTAAATGATGATGAGGAACTTCCAAGGCGATAACGTGCGCAAATATGCTCCATACTTCCTCAAACACTAAAGCATTTAAAACTTTCACCTGGTTTTGGGTACCTTTATGAGAAGCAGGCCTTTTCTATAATCCTTGAACTTGAAATCCTTTTTTAAAATGCAGCTACCTTTTAACTGTTTCCACGTGTGTCCTTATTGTTGGAATTGCTGTAACCTTTGAGAAATTTGTGGGAGTCTGCTGAATCACCATTCTCTGAAATCTCCTTGAACAAACTAATGTCTTCTTCTGCTGACAAGCTTTTTGGAGCTGCTGATTTCATTTCTAGCAGGATTTGGCGTGGCATCTCTGTAGATGGGTGGACAGCAAACTTGTCTGACCTGAACCCTATATAGAGTCAATGGGGTCAAGAAGATGCTGAAAGACACCATACCCAACAATGTGGATGACCTGAAGATCACCATTAAAACAACCCTGGTTTTCTTAAAACCTCAGCAGAACCACAAGATGATCACCTACATACCACACCGTTTCTTTAACTTACGCAAAAGAAACCCCGGAAAATGGACACACTTTTTAGTGGCTCAACATTTCCATATACCAAAAATTATAGCTTCATAACTAATCAGAATTCTAACAATATCAATAAAATCACAATTGAAAGAACTGACTGATTGCAATGCAAAAAGTTATATTTCAATGGCTGTGCATTAAAAGGTTTTTCTTTCCAGTAATACATTTGGTCACCTGAAAAGACTTTCAGTGTCTAACCACAACTAATTTGTAAGGTTTTAGCCATCAAGATTGTAAAGTTCACTGTGGCAATTAAGAAACAGTGAGGAAAATGTTGGTTAATTGTGATCAAAAGGGTTTCATAAGCTGAAAGCCATCAAAAACGAAAATGAAAGCAATAAATTAAATTTTCCCTGATGTTTTAATCGACTATGCATCTGTAGAATTGCCGGAAAATAAATGCAAAAAGGTGAAATTAGCAAAACGGAATAGAGGACAGGTGCTGAGAACCAGCTTGTAAAGCTGTTGTCAATGTGTTCTGTATCAAGACCTACTTGATTTAAAATGAAGAGGACTTCTATCAACAGAGCACTCCAGCCAGAACACTTAAATCTATTATAGGCGAGTGCTTAACAGGGATAGTACCGACTGTGATTTGGTCCTGTAATCAGAGTACTGAAGCCTCTTTGTCTCCGAGAGACAAAAGTCCTTTTAATTATTCAACAAGAACGATAACTTGTGGCAAGGTTTCATCTTCCCCCACGACGCAGTCCAAAGGGATTCAGTCTGGTGAGATCAGCTACACTCTCAACCTCAGACGGTCTTACAAATGTATCCTGAAACCTGATGCCTCAGAGGAGACCCTCTGCTGAAGAACATTTCTGGCATAACGGCTCGATGACATCACTGTTTTTGTCTTTTCCGCTGCCATGTAATCGACTCTCCCAGTCCCTTTGCAGCTCTACTCTGTTATTTTTATTCCTATAAAAAACAGAAAATGTCTGACATTGTGGTTTCCTTTTACAACTGGAGATGCAGATTAACGTTCTGTGGCAGAGCATAACTTTTTTTTTTTTTCTCTAATCTCCTTCCTCAGCCTCTAATTCAAGTCTCACCCACCACTTGAACTGAATGACATCACTCGAGACTGCATTCAATCATAGCTACCCTACAGCTGTAATGGGGGATGGATTCAAGAGGCTTTCTGAAGGGCCCCCAAACTGAAACCACAGAGGCAGAGCAGTCAGTTTTCACAAACTAGAAAACTGTGCCTCAACAGGGTTTGAACACAAACACCATCCGTTTCATAAATTGTATAACTTGTACATCCTTTTCCTCCCTCAATGTCTAACAATAAATCAGACAAAACCGTTCTGTTCCAGGTCATTTAGGATTATCAAAATTACTTCCATTTACTAAATTCCAGAATAATTATGGAGTAAGAATTTTTTTTAGTACCTAGTTTAAATTCACAAATTTATATACCCCGAGATCACTATGCTTTCATGAAAACCAGGATGACTTTGTCAGTGACGTATGTTTTACATCAAAGAGATGAACGCGTTCTGGTATGAAATGTGTATTCTAACGCCAGAATAAAAGCAAAAGACCTTGTGATAATGCTGGCTGTCCTTTAGACAGAGTGTTATTATCCACAGTGAAACCATTACAGCCTAAAAGGCCACTCTGATAGGAAGAAGTCAGTAAAGTATGTAAATGTATTCGGGGACAATGACCCCAAATTTTCAGAAATCTAACCATTTTACACCAGTTCTGTCCAGAGGAATGGGCCAAAATTCCAGTAAACATTTATAAGAATTTGTTTGGAAGTATACCTGAAATGTTTGACTCCATTGAAAAAAACAAATCTACTAAACAAGGACATGTATTTGGAGAATGTTACAAAAATATGTCAAGTAAGTAGAAATAATTTTGGTTAACCCAAGTGTCCTAAAACCAGAAATATTTAAAGATCTGGTTTCAGTTGTGTGACCTAAGATGACTAAAGGGCATCACTGCAGTCTTTAGGATGCTTGCAAAATTTGCTAGAATAAAACTGATTGACGGAAAGAATCTGGTGACTATATGAGTCATAAAAATAGCTAAATACTGCAAATAAATTATGAAGTATAAGAGAACAAAACAAAAACAGGTTTAACAATGAGGTTATCTTGAAGTTATAATATTTCCAATCAATCATTTATAAATACCTAGTTATATCAAATTTCAATTTGTGACAGTATTTTCAGTCATTTCTTCCAGTATTGGTGGCCAGTGTGCGGCTACTGAAACTCCCCATTGTTCTAATGTTAATAACACACACGGTTTCTGGGAAAGCCTGTCTAGGCCGGGGGTCACTGCTGCCGGGACAAACGGCCCTTTTGAGCCCAGTCTTACAGGTCACTGGCTATGTATTGTGTTGCTACGCGGTATTTCTATTCACATTCATTAAAGCGGACATCTCAAACCTTGTAACATCAGCTACTGGATCCTGTATCCCACAGCTCCTCCCCTCTGTGTGCTTACACCAACACAGAGCGTAATGAAGGCCAACGCAGAGTCACAAGATTCCAACAGACGAAATCCAAGCAGCAGACAAGAAGCGCTTTCAGCCAGGGAGATGCTCTGAAATAACTTGTGTGTTTTGACTCATGAAAGCTACAATTAAGGAGAATTCCTCATTACCCTAGCCATCAGCAGAGCTACTCACCGTTTGTGTCAACATGTTTTATGTGACTCCCCACCAAATAAAGCACGAGAGTACTGAGGTACCCTGAGTACCGGGATAATGGATGTGCAACAACGGATCCAGCACCTCATATCAGAAGCTTCTCAAAGTAAGGTGTCCTTGAACACAGTTTGTTTACGGCAGCCCAGGATTGAGTCTCAAAAGAATTTGACAATGCCAAAGCTGGAGAAATCCTTTCCTAAAATACTGCATCTCTGAAAGCTTAAATTCCCCGTAATCTTCCGGTTCTTACTGCAAAATCCTGCAAACGCTTTATTCACTCTTCCCCCCACCCCCAACATCAGACTAGATAAATTATTTAATAAAAATGGGAGAAAAATGTGTGAAACTGGTGAATCAGACCAAAAATGATTGTCTGCAGCTATGATGAAGTGATTAGCCAATCAGAATACACAACATCCAGTGCTTTAGCCATTTTGGTTTAGGTGGAAGTACACAAAAACTGAGTAGTATTTACAAAGACATGAAACCATCAACCTACATAGACGTCCGTTTACTAGGGTCAGGGTAAGAGTGAAAAACAATCTGTGGGTCTAAGAGCTGCAAGAAAATTGATCTGTATTTACAACCAGGAGTCAGCCCTGATAATTCATTAAACAAAAGACAAACCTCAAGCTCTTCCTACAATGGTAGTTTTTAACCACAGAGGTTAAAGCATCCATTTACTACACCAACGTGGGCACTCAATCATTTTATAAGGCAACTCTGACTGGGAGAAATGTACAAAACGCAGAAACAGCAATATTTCTTGATATTAAACATTCATCACCATGTTATCAGCAGATAAAACCAGATTTACTATACCCATCATATGAACTAGATAAGTAAAAAAGCCAAATAAATATCTGAGTTTAATGAACAACTTCACAATTATTCCTCCAATACAGTTGCCTAGTCTGCAGTTGAGTGACAGGTCAGTTGTTTTTTCCTGAAATATTCTAATTATTCATAACAAATTACCTATAATCTCAACACAGCAATCAGCCAGTTAATGGGGAGATTAGTAAAACTAATGAGGTATCCCTGAACTCTGCGTTTTCTAGACGGTTTACTTCAGTTTGCACCATCTGCCAACTCGTGTCAACCACAACTGACATTTACTAAATACGTTCAAGTTCACTTGAAGTCAGACTCTGCACAGTTAAATACCTTACAGTCTACCCATTAATGGTAAGAATGAAAGACAAGAGAAGCGAGACAGATTACAAGTGTGTGAATGAGACGGAGACAGACGGAAGAGCAAACATGCTAGATGTACCGGTACTGATAGTGTTTGAACTTGAGCACCTGGGGTTAATCATCCAAAGAAATGTGGAGTGCACAGGAGGTGAAGACAAGAGGAGAGTTATGGTGGAGCGGGTGGAGACAAACGTCAAGGACAATAAATGTCTCTGCGAGGGTGAAATGGGAACGCTTACAAGATGTCGACACACACACACACACAAAAAGGAACTGAAACTGGAGCCGTTTCAGGATTTGCCATTTCAGGAGGTTGTGATTTCTTTCATATTAATTTGCTATAAATAAAAATGGTTTGGTCTTTGAGACTGAAGCTAAGCAGAGAGGAGCAAACTGGACTTCAACATTCTTAAAAAAATAAAGAAGGAAAACCACAGTGGTTTGATGAAATGCTACTTTATGAACCTTTAAACATTTGACTGAGCATTATGTAAACAAGGGATCATTATGTGAACAAGGGAGATGGAGGTTGGAGGATATGCATCTTAAAAAAAATAAAATTGCATTAAGCAAACGATTTATGCTTTTTAGCTACTTTAGATTTAAATCGGATAATACAAAATGCTTTACATGTTCTATTCTCACAACATATTTCACACAGAACGATCACTGGTGGTGCACCGTGTCTTGCCCATCTGTCTTGCACAAATAATCACTGCCTTCTGTGTTTGTAATCACCTAATGGAAACATAAAAAGTTCATAAAATAGTATTTGCATGAAATACTGCGAAGTTTTTGAGGTCAGTGTTGTTTAAAGACAATAGTCTGTTTTGGACTTTGGTCCTCCTGTCAGGATAAGCCTCTAGGAATGAGAGTTATCTACTGCAAGTAAAATATTGACACTGCATATATACTGTTGTTTTATTAGAAGTGACATACCATAGAAAAGATTATAAATTAGTTTATCATTCATTTGGAGACAAATTCAGGCAACCAATGTTTGAGCATGTCCGGAGGAGAGATGGAGGATATATTGGGAAAAAAGATTTTGAATACAAAGTTGCCAGGGAGGGAGGAGAATGAGAAAAGCACAGAGGAGGTTTGTGGATGTAGTACTGCGACAGGGAAAGATGCCAGAGATAGATTGAGATGGGATTTAGAGTTTCTGCTATCAAACCCTCCAAAGGAGGGGGCAGAAGCAAAATAATGTTCATATACCTGGTCTTCATTGGCTGACAACCAAACATCCCTTTAAAAAAAAAAAAAAAAGTATGGTGCAATGACAGGAAGTTTGACAGGAAGTGAATTTATTGAAATTATACAAACCTTTATTATTACGATTCTACTGTTAACACTGGCAGAAAATGCACATACATTGTAAATGAGGTTGTATTTAATACTATTTGGTTATTTGTGACAGTCTAGAACAGCCAATGGACACAGCAAAAGCTTGTTTAGCATTTTAAAACGTCTCATTAGATTATGGACGTAACATTCCAACAGATTAATTACGGTCGGATTAATCTGACAGTAATCAGTTTAAAGCTCGGTGGTGGAAAACACTACAGATAAACAGGAGCAGATACCACCATTAAACGTAGAGGTGATTCAAAGCAAACGTTTCATTAGCTGAAGCAGACTGGCTAGCAAAGCTAACGGTGCGTTCTTTTTTTTTTTAATGACTAAAATGAATCGTTAGTGTTAAATCTACCTTTGAAAACCGTTACCGTGACAACGGCATCTGTGCTCTTTCACAAAGCTACATTTTAACCGAGGTCTGAAGAATAACAGACACTCACCTCTGCCTTCCGGCTCGGACCGATCAATGAAACCACCGATTTCCACCTATAGTAACGTTAGCAGGTCGGAGCACTCCGAGTCTGCACACACCCCACCACGTTTCCACTCGTGTGGGTCAGTCGGTTTCGGTGGTTAACGCCGCCCCATTTTTTCCCCTTTTACCTCATATGGAAAAGTCACTGGTTTAGTGGTGTAAGCTCTCAATTATTAAATCCAGCTGCATGACTAGCTGCTTAGCATCTATAACTTCTTTTTCTTTTAAGCTGGCCTTCCTGTCGGAGCTTCCGCATAGCCATGCCTTTATCGTCGGTGTCCATCACCGTGTTGTATGGCAGGCTGTTTGTGTATATACTCTGATACTCTTGATAGCGGTCGCCTGCTAGTTTTACTACATGGTTCCACAAACAGTAATTTGCTCATGCTAATGATTGGTTGGTCACCTGCTGCACTAGTTTAAAGTGTACATAAAATTGTGCCAAGCATGAAATCCACAAAATACAGACAAGTCAAACCAGGACTGAATTAATCATCCAGTCAAGAATTACACTTTATTTACACACAGTTTTGACTTGTGAAATAACTTTGATTGTAAAAAAACAAAATACATCAGGCAGAGAGGAAGATTGTCGCCCAAGGTACCATTTATGCACTAAAAGGTTTAACTGGTTAGACCACTCTAGTTTCAGAAAATGCCAACTTTTATGCTTTCTGATGCACCAGTTGACCATCAAATAGTGAACAAATAGCATGCTTTGTATGAGGACATTTTGCTAAATGTCCCCATATATGTACACAGTCAACTAGCACAACTTAGAAATGCAGAAAACTGACTTGTAGAACCTAGAAATCACACAAATCGACAAAGTGCAGCTTACAAGTTCACTAGAGAGAGTACATCTGAAATATACACTGGTTAATTAGTTGACATTTGTGTAGTTCCAGTATTTCACAAACATGACTAAAAAGCTTCTGTCAGTAAGTGCATGTTTAAGCTGTACTAATTGACTATTTAGATTGAATTAGTTAACTCTTGCACATTTAAGGATCATATGTAAATGAGTGAGCAGAGATGGTGTTGAAAAGTTCACATGTTAGGATTTTGAATATGTGGTCAACTTTTCATGGCAGTCAGTGACTAGATTGGTCTAATGGTCAACTATTGCACAAAAAGAAGCCTACTAGTTGGGACTTTAGTGTCCCAAGACACGTGCTTTCAGTAGTTTATCAAGCTGCAAACAGTAACAAGTGAAAAAGACCATGTTTTTTAACTTATGAGCAAATGTATAGCTAGTGGAGGGTAGTCACGAACTAGTTCTTGAGTATTTACACATATTGCTTACCGTAGCCATGAGACTACACAGCATATTCAGGAAGACTTATTCTTATCCACTGAAAAGATGGGAACACCACCCACTATGAGCTTACTGTACTCTCTATTAGAAAATGTTGCTTGGAGGTAGATCCAAAGCGCCTATTTCCACAAAGATGACATTTCATTTCACGTATCAGAACCTGAAAATCTGCACCATCTCTATGCAGTCAAAAGACTTTACCTTATTAGGTAACCTGTTGCAATCTGATTCATAAGACAACAGTTCCTAAGTTGCTGAATGATTCGCTAGAAAAAAGCTTACCCTGTTATTACAGCTGCGGTATGGATCTCCCTTTAACTTCCCCTCTCTCTTCCTTTTGTTCTTTTTCCTCTTCTCGGTCCAGAATGAGTAAGAGGTCGGAGCTTGTATCTGTAACACCAACTTCTCTTTCTCTCTTCCTCTCTCTGGTTACTAGACCCTCCCCCTGAGTTTTTCAGCATGGAAAAGGAATGACACCATCCTCCCAAACAAGTTCTTTCTCGTCTGACTTTGGCTCAGGACTTGTGTATTTCTGTGTAAACAGCACCCCTCTATCTCTCTCTCCGTCTTTCCCTGTTTCTGTATATGTGCTCATAAACGGTTCAGTCAGAACCACCTCCTTCTCTTCCTCTTTCTCCTCCTCCTCCTCCTCATCCTCCTCCTCCCCTTCCTTGTTCTTCTCCTCCAGCTCTCTCCTTTCTCTCTGGATTCTTACAGCATTCTTCATTCAATGACATCAACCCCCTTACCTCTCCATGTAAGGTCAGGCTGGGGGAATGAGGGAGCCCGGAGAGGGGGAGATAATGGGGACTTGATTAGATACAGACTCAGAAAGCGGTCAGGGCTTTAAACAAAAGGAGGTACAGTGGCTGAAGAAAATAAGTTCCACTCAGCCTGGACTGTGGAAACTATTTATTTATTTTTTTTGCTTTTATTTATTCTCAAAGAGTTCTTCAGCATTTTTTGGATTTTACTCCAAACCCCTCCTTCATGTGATAAATGATGACAAATGAATTATATAAAACTGCTTGTAAGCTCCTCCTCATAATTAGGATGTTGTCACCTTTAGCCTGGTGTTAATGTGAGACACCGCCCATCCTGTAAGCCAGCCCTATGTCTGACTGTATGTCCTACTCACACACACACACACACACAC